CCTTTGGGGGAGAAACCTGGCCTCGGCCGACAGAGGGCTTCTTCCCAGCCTGGGTGTGAGCTGGGGAGGCAGCCCCCAAGAGGGAGGGCAGAGCCCAGGACAGGCTGGGTCCCGACTATCACCCTCAAGTCACTGCATTTCTGTCCCCTGAGTCCGCAGTTCCCCATGTAGGCATTAGTCAATTTGAGTCCAACAAGAGTCCTGCCGGATCCACCCCCAACAAACCCAGGTTCCACGGGTCCTGTCCTTGAGTTACTGGCACTCAGGACCTCCCTTGGCTGATAGACGCCATCGATGCGGCCCCAAATCTGTCACGAAGAGGAGGACACAGAAAGAAGGTGCTGGGGAGAGCCTGGGCTGTGATCAGGGCCGGCGCTTTGGCAACAACAGGACTGTCACAGCTAAGCAGACTAAGCTCAGGAAAGACACGCGGCTGGCCAAGGCCCCCAGGTGATGGGGATCACCGCGCAGGCTCTCAGCAGGTCTGGACTCACTCTCAGCTGAGCAAACAGTCGAGGCTGCTTGAAGGGGCCCCAATATCCGTTACCCAAATCCAAATAGCAGTCATCATCCAGATTGCAGGGGAGGGGGGAGCTAAACTATTCACTGCTGTGGTTTTGAGCTCTGCTTGCTATAACCTTTGACAAACCATAGCACACAGCTCCTCGAGACACGAGGGGCGCAGAGATAGAGCCCTTCGCCCTGCTCCCGGCGGAGCCCCAAATGACCACTGCTCACGCCAGCTGATGTCGAGAGAACATTTATTCCACTTGGTCAGCTCCGGCACGTATCGGTGACCGACGGAAATATCCAGCCTGGACGACCATTGACACGCACTCCCGCGTAGCCATGGGGGCGTCCCTCCTGTCCCACTGGCCCAAGTAGGGGGGGACCTGAGGTCTCCTACAGTCATTAGTGCCCCAGGGGAGCCAGCTCACAGCCCAGTGAAACGAACACACAACCCACGTGTGAACTTACCCGCCACCTCCTCCCACCACCAGCCACCCTCCAGCCTCCAGCACTTGACCCATCAGCCAGTAGACAAGTATTTCCTGAGTGTTATGAGCCCAGCCCTGTGCTGGACCCTGTTGGGGTTCAAGAGGAAATGGCACGTCCCTTGCCCTCAGGGAGCGTACAGTCTAGCTGGAGACTCAACACACACACACACACACACACACATACATACGCACGTGCGCACGCATGGAAAGCCAGAGTGCAAGGCGGCATGTGCCCCCGAGGGTGAGACGGTGTTAACACAGGGACCGTTCAGAGAAAGAGGATGGAGGTCCTGGTGGAGAAGTGGGTTTGGGGAGGACGGGGGAGGGGCGCATTTCACAGCAATACCAGGGAAGGCAGAGGCTGCAACAGCGCATAAGGGCTGCGTGGTTAGACTGGAGGGAAGTGAGCTGACGATCGGCAGGGAGGCTCCCTCCCTGAGGCTCCCTCCAGGCAGGCCAAGGATCAGAGCAAATGGAAGCTTCTGGAGTGCAGAACGCCTCCTGTTTCTCTGATCTCCCCCAGCACGGTTTGTTATTCCAGGACGAGGCCTACGGCAGATTTGCAGCAGGCTGCAAGGGAGACAGGACAGGCAAGATCCCAGGGCAGGAGCTGGGGAGGGGGGCCTCCAGACAACCCTGACCAAAGCCCAGCTGGGCCCTAGGACCTCCCACCAGAACGCTCCACAGCGCCCCCCACAACTCCCATTGCTGGGATTTGATCTAAATCCATGGCTCCAGGCCTCTCCCCACCCCCAAGGGTTTCACTAAGTAGAACCTGCATCTGGAGGTCATCGAAACCCCAGCCCAGCCCTAATCGGCCACACCTCTTCAGATGAGTGGTTCGTTCTGGGGAGGCCAGTGAGCTCCAGGCCAACCCGCTCAGGGTGGAAACAGAAGTCCTCTCCCTGCTGGTGGTCCAGCCTCTGCCCCTCCACATCCATGCACGGACCTCGGGAAAGCTCCTCGGCCCCAGAGCTGGCGGGCACCAGGAGCCAAGCTCCGTCTGCCCCCTCAGCCTTCCCCACATCAGGCCTGGCTAAACACCTGGTGTGGCAGAGGCTTGGCTGCTGGGAAGCAGGATCCCTCCCCCCGGGTGGACCCAAGGTCACGCACACCCTGCACCATGGAACTCCCTGCTTTCCCCGCCACTTTCATGGTGAGATCAGACAGAGCCCGGGCCAGGGATCCTGGGCATGGTGAAACCCAGCAGCCAGAGCAAGCACCCCAAATCAGAGAAGAGCAAACCCAGCCCAGAGAGCCTCCAGCAACGTCTGTGGAAGGGAAGAGAGGTTCCAGGAGCCTGAGGCCCCGTGAGGCCTGGGAGGAGAGCGACTAAAAGGGTCCCCTCCTCAGAATTCTTTATTCCTGAGTGAGGGAAGGAAGTTCAGCAGGGGGAGGGAGAAATGCTACTTGTGGGGCGGCCCTGACCCAGGGATCTGTCGTAGGTAAGGAAAGCGTGGCAGGTTCTGTCCTGGGGCTGAGATTCTCAGCCAGGAGTCCAGGAGCTCTGGCATTGTTTGTAGATTCTCGTGTCTCCGTCTCCGTGAGTATGCGCATTTTCCTGGGGAGGAGGTTCATAGCGTTTGCTAGATTTCCCAAGGGTTTCACACCCCCAAAGTCTTAAGAACCATTGCTCTGAAAGGAAAGTGGAGCCTTGCAAGTATGGTTCACACCTGGGGGAAAGGCTTCGCCTCTAGAGCGAGGCCTCCTGCTGACTTTGCTGTGTTCTCCTGGGCCAGTTACTTGCTGTCTCTGATGGGCCAGGCAGGCGCAGAGAAGCTGGCTCTCCACACAGGCACTGTCCCTGCTGCCACATGAGAGTGGAAGTCTGTGGCCAGGCAGCCAGGATGAGCTCTTCTCTGGCCATGACTCCCAACTGGTTCGGGGAGTTTTTCCACTGGGGCACAGAACCGGCCTCCAATTCCAGGCTGCATCAGTCCCCTCTGCAGGGCACCTCCCGAGGTAGGTCTTCTTAGGGGACATGTCCTCATGCCGGTGGGCAGGGCCCCAGAGGGCCCCATTCCTAGACTCTGTGCCCAGATGTGCCTCACACACTGCCCAGAGGTCCTGCCCACTCCACATCTGTTCATGGAGACAAAGAGACGAGGGTCAGGTCTGGGGCTCTGACACGGCCCTGCCCAGCCACCCCTCAGTCACCTCTCTGGGGCTAGGCGGGAGGAGTCTGTGGGGCCACCCTGCACTTGTCCAAGGCTTTCAGCCAGTCCTTTTAGCCCCCTACGGAGGGGATTATCAATCCCATGAACCCCTGAGACAACTTGGGGTTAGGGCATGTGGGCTCCAGATGTCCCAGGTCCCAGATTAATCTCTTCATCTCTGCCACCAAATACTAGTCCACACTGCAGCAGCCACCTGGTGGCAGGCCGAGGGCCACTGATGTCCAAGGAGCCACAAACTCTAAGGAAGGGCAGAGGGCAGGGACAGGTCTCCAGCACCTAGCAAGGTGGTGGCAAAGGCTGGGCACAGAGCAAGGGCTCTGTGAGTGCAGGTCCCCTCCGACGCCCCCAGCTCCCTTCCTCCCAACCTGCTACTGTGGATGCCAAGACCCCCTCGGGCACCCAGGGGCGCCCCTGCCCAGGATCCTACCACGTGGGATCTTGTCACATCCCCACAACCTCCACACTCCATTTTCCTGCCAGTAAGAGCTTCTCTTGTGGGCAGTGAAATAGAGATGAAGGGTCTTGGGGGCCAGGCTTGCACTGTGACACCACAGTACTAAGTACTAAGTGAGTACTAAGTGAGATTTGGGGCAAGCTTGGGTGAGCCTGTTTGTTCACCTGCCAAATGGCTGAAGAAGCCTGTGCTTCAGAGCACCAACTTGGAATCAGGAGCCTGGGAGACAGTCCTGGCTCTCCCCCTTGGTCAAGCCTCTTAGCTAGGGGCCTCATTTTCTCTTGCCCAGATGACCCCACAATGCTGGAGCCTCCTGGTCACCCCACTTTGACCTGTCTTCACAGTGCGTGCATTACCCCTTGAACCGTATGTCTGAGATCACCACGCTCTTCTCATTAAACATCTTGGTGTCCTCTCTTTATGGCCACAAAGTCCTTTGTAGGGCACATATGGGCCTCCTCTATCTGACCCCCACCTCAGAAACCCCACACACCCTTGCTCTCCCTAGAGAACCTCTATTCATCCCCCGGACCCAGTTCAAGCCATCAAACACTTTGGGTGACACCAATCACCTCCCCCACCTCCCAGAATACGTTATAGTTTGTCCACTAGGATAGCCTGCATCACCTGTGTGTACCAAGTGTCACCCCTCAGATGACAAGGCTTTGTGTCAGTGCCTCCTCCCAAGAGCACAGCACTGTGCGTGGCACACTGGGGTGCTCAATAAATGTTTCCAGACCAGCGCTGTCACCCTCTTTTATCTAGTAATATTGACTACAATCCTCACAATATCCCAGGGAGAAGTCCCTCTTAAACACAACTTAAACAGATGAACAAACTGAGTCATAAAGTGCAATGATTTCTCAAGTACACCAGATAGTAAGTGTTGGAGTCAGGAGACCTTGGGTGTGGAGGGGGTAGGGAGTGGGTGGGTCTGGGGACTGTGGAGAGCAGCCCTCTCCAGGTGACTTTCAACTCTAACATTCTGGGAAAGAAGATCTAGTAAGAAGCTTGTCATACACCCAGAGCCCAGTTCACCCCACCTTCCCTGCCTGCCCCTGACCCCAACCCCTGCCCAGGCCTGAGAGGGGATCGGGCCAAACCTTAGGTCTCACCTACTCTAGGCCGGGTGAGCCAGAGGAGGAAAACCAATGCAGGGGCCTAAAGCAGCTGTGGACGACCAGCGGTAGGGTGAAGACTCAGAAAGAGGCGGCCCAAGCGGGGCAGCGGCCCACTCCTTCAAGACCCCAAGCCAGGCCTCCCCGTCTCTCAGGATCAAATCCAGAACGGGGGCCGCAGCCCAGCGCCATCTCCTGGAGTCACGGACGCGGCTCTGGGGCAGGAAACCGGCGGCGGCAGGCCTGGTGCGCATCATAGCACGCGGCCTAAATGGGCCGCCTGGCCCTCGGGCCCGTGGCCGTGGCTGCGTTGGTGGGTCTTGAGCGAGCCCTCGCGCGCGAAGCTCTTGCCGCAGCGGGCACAGAAGTAGGGCCGCCGCTCCCCGAACACGCCGGGGCGGCGCGGGTGCGGTGCGGGCATGCGCGCGTGGGTGCGCTGGTGGTTGAGCAGGAAGCGCGGCTCGCGGAAGCAGCGGCCGCACTGCGCGCACTGGTGCGGCTTCTCGCCGCTGTGGATGCGCTGGTGCGTGAGCAGGTTCTGCTTGAGGCTGAAGCAGCGGCCACACTCCGGGCAGGGGAAGGGCCTCTCGCCGGTGTGCGTGCGCTGGTGCACCTCCAGGTTGTGCTTGACGCTGAAGGCCTTGCCGCACTCGGGGCACACGAAGGCGGCCGCGCGGCCCACCCCAGCGTGTGCCTTCTGGTGGCGCACCAGGCTGGGCTGCTGCGAGAAGGTCTGGCCGCACAGCGGGCAGCGGTGAGGCTGCTCCTCCGCGGGGTGGTGGATGACCAGGCCTCGCTCGTCCCCCAGACCCTCCTCCCCGTCCCCCGCAGGGGACCCGCCCCCCGAGGACGCCAGCTCTGTCATGGGCACTTCCAGCCGCAGTCACCAGTCCCTGGGGAGGCAGAAGCAGAGAGAGGAGTCAGGGGTGGGGGGATCCAAGGATCAGCCGGCCCCCAACCTCAGGGACACTGGACCTTGAACTGGCTTCCCACAACTTCAGCATCCACCCCTCTACAGTGTTGTTCAGGCCAGCGTTCCCCTGCTGGAAAGCCCTTCTTTCTCCTCTACCCTTTAATCACACCCTGCCCCTCCTTAAGGCCTTTCTCAAGTTCACCTCCTGCTAGAACCTTTCCCTGACTCCTCCAGCCCCTCCTGAGCCCTACGGCCCAACCTTATGACCCTCAGTCATCACAAAGCCCTGGCCCGGTGATGCCTTAAGGACAGAGCCGCCTCCTTCTTTTATCCCCAACAGCAAGCACCCAACCTGCCACACAAAGTACTGAATAAATGCCAACGGGTGATATCCAGGGGCTTCTAGTCTTACAACTTAGCACCTGCATATGTCTTATCTCTCCAACCAGCATCTCAAGGAGGGAGGGGATAGGTAGGTGCATCCCCAATCTGGAGGGAGGGATGGGGTCACCGGTGGCTCACAGATATTTTTGAAAAGCGTAAAAGAAACAAAACAAAAACCCTGTACACTTGAAAGTAATCTCAATTAAACATTAAAGGCAGCAGCTCTTTGTTTATCAAAATGTGGCATGCCTGCAAAAGGTTTGCAAATCACTGAAAGGGAGGGTGACCTTCCCTGGGGGGCGGGGGAGGGGGCGGTGCTGGTCTCAGCTTGATTCCTCTTGGCATCCCCAAGACACGGAAGCCTGACCCCGAGGCTCAGCAAACACCCCCAAGTTCGGCTCCATTCCATTCATGCTGGTTCTAAGGATTCTCTTCCCCATAGCACCGTGGTCTCTTAAATTGTTTCCCACTGTCCTCACAGCAACCCCAAGGAAGGAACAGGGCTTATTCAGCCCTACTTTATAGACGGGGTAACGGAGGCACAGTGAGGTCACCTTACTTGCCCAAGGTCGCACAAGGTGAGCTCGGACTAGGCCCTAAGTTTCCTGACTCACTGTCAAAAGCTCTTCTCAATGTGCCAGCTGGTCACCAGCTAAACTCCCCTCAAAATACACACGCATGTACAAGACCACCACTATCCTGACCACTGCAGAGTTCTAGATCACCCAAAGGGCCACTGCTCCTGTACAACCCTGTCTGCAACCACTCCTCCCACGCCCTCCCCCCCAAATAAAAGCCTAGGGCTCCTGTTCCTGCAGAGCACTGAGGCCTGCCCCAGAGCAGGCTGAGCCGGCACTCCCCTGCGGTCCTCCACCCCCATCAGGGACCTAGACCTCCATGCAGGCCTTCTCTACTCTTCCAGATCTCACTGTTCACTACAACCTCAGTCGATCTATCTGCAGAGTGGGGTCTCAGAGATCCCCCTTCTTTCTCCCCCTACCCTGAGGCCAGGGTGGAACACACACCCACCCTGGAGAAGGGGACCAGTACTACTTGCATTGGACCCCACCCACGAGGCTCTCAGCCCGCCAGCTGCACTGACATTTGCAAAGACAGACCATCACGGTCCCCTCGGCCAATCTCAGCCTGGCCTTGTCCCTGGACAGCCTCCTCGCTCTCCCCGGCATGTATCTCCCACCAAGGACCCCACTACGGAGAGGGTCTAAAGCCACGGCCCCCTCTTCTCCCCCAAGTTCCTCCATCCCCTCCCGCACTCACAGCCCAGGCTGCGCCCCTGCTCCTCCGGTCTCCAGCAGTGGCTCTCTCCT